TGTGTGTGCGTGTGCGTGTGCGTGTGCGTGTGCGTGTGCGTGTGCGTGTGCGTGTGCGTGTGAGTGTGCGTGTGCGTGTGCGTGTGCGTGTGCGTGTACGTGTGCGTGTGATTGTGTGTGTGTGCGTGTGTGTGTGTGTGCGTGTGTGTGTGTGTGTGTGTGTGTGTGTGTGTGTGTGTGTGTGTGTGTGTGTGTGTGTGTGTGTGTGTGTGTGTGTGTGTGTGTGTGTGTGTGTGTGTGTGTGTGTGTGTGTGTGTGTGTGTGTGTGTGTGTGTACGCCTGCATGCCTACGTGTAAATGGGTGAACAGTTTTTGTATGGACGTTCTGCTCACACCGGCGTGATGCACTTTAGGAATTATGCGGTTTCAAATTTGTTTCTGTACAATCCAAAGCTATGTCTAAACGAGCAATAGCCGTGAATTAAAAACACAGACATCGATCGTCATTTATTTCTAGCCGAAATTCAATTTTTCAAGTTCGATCGATGTGCGTTTGTTTAATCTATATCTTGTTGTTATCGACTGATAGTGAAACCGTTAGCAGCCGGACAGTATAGGAGAGTGATGTGGATGTGTCGTAATAAGAATAGCCTACATGATAGGGAGTTGCTAGAACACGGGCGTCGAAGGAGGGTCGCGTGATGTGGCTGCACTTGTGTTAGGATTAGGGTTAGGGTCAGGGTTAGGTTTAGGGTTAGGGTTAGGGTTAGGGTTAGGGTTAGGGTTAGGGTTAGGGTTAGGATTAGGGTTAGGGTTAGGGTTAGGGAAATAAGGCCATGTCTAGCACGGAAGTATGACTGTGGAATCTTTGTGTGGAATATTTGGACTTTGAAGCGTACGAAGTGACTAGTGCTGCCACGTAACGGCACCCTCCTTCGACGCCCGTGTTCTAGCAACACCCTACATGGTAGCACTGTTTGATGAAACCTGAGACATCTTCTTGTTCTTACTAGCTCGCGTGGAATAGCCTTGGCTGATTATATATAGACCAAGGGCGACCATGTGGAAAATGCTTGCTATTCATTGTTAAAATGTAACATAAAGCCACGTGTTTTTTTTAGCCAGTGAATCGGGACAAAATCCCATGTTAACACTAACGCACAGTTCACCCGAATAACTCACGCAAACATGAAAATTGCGAATAGTTACTGTGTGGACACAAAAATTTCCTCGTTTTAAATGTACCGAAAATGTGAGCAAAGCACACAGAGCTTCGCCGTACATAATATAGGTGGTGCACACATAGTAAGTATAATCAGCAATAGCTAAGTAACAGTTTCTAACTACTGTTGGGAACTATCGACGCGCGCCGTGGTTCTGACGGTGTGAAATAATGACATCATCGATTCGCATCGATCGAGCGCCGGGTTGAGTTGGGCTGTGGCGACATCCATGCGGCCGTGACGTGGCATCCGATCATGGTCGCACGCACGCACGCAAAGTAAAGACTGCAACTACAACGATAGCGTGGCTAGCATCGTAACATCACTCGACAAACACAGATAGAAGAGAAACACCGCACGGGCGTGCCGTGTGTGATGGACTGACTGACCGCGGCCACTGACCCGGCGCCATTTACGCATGCGCTGATCGTTTACTTCCGAACGCTCGCTCCGCATATTAACCGATCCTCCAAACAATGGCGCCGCCGGTGCGTTTAGGCGAGTATGGCCGCTAATCGTGACACAATTAGTGGCCGCGTTCACACGTAGCAAGAAATTCGGTATTTAGCGTTCACACGAGGCAAAATGCGCGGTCCAAGAAATACGGTATCTAAACAGATCCGGTATTTGTAGAAATACGCGGCTTCCCAGACCCCGA